TATCTATCTATCTATCTATTTACAGTCAACAGACTCTGAACTGTTCTTGCTCTTTCCTTCAATCGGCTACTAATTTTACTTCTTCTTATTTATGTCACCGAAAGAAATAATGTGTTGCAGTAAAACCTTCACTGAAGGCCCCGAGGGACAACTGAGAGAGAGAGAGAGAGAGTTGGTGTGGAAGGTCAGGGAGAGCTTCAGATTTTGTTCGGGTGACAAATGACAAAAGGGCTTTTTTGTGAGTAGTTTCTCTGTGCCACCCCCCACCCTCCCCCCTGTCTTTATCTTTTTCCATCTCTAGAACAAAATAAGAAGCTCTTGTTGTTGAATAAAAAACGAGGTATGTGTGTGTGTTTGCGTGCATTGGGGCTGCAACTAATCTGTAGAATATATTTCAGTTTATTGCTTAATTGTTTAAAATGACAGAAAATGGTTAAAATGCCCATTTCCACAGCTGCCGTCTTCCAATTGTATTTGAGAAGCTACTAACAGAAAATGTTTGGTATTTTTGCTTGATAAATGATCTCAGCAACTAATCCATTATCAAAATGGTTGATGATTCATTTTCTGGCAGTCTAATAATTGATTAGTAGACAGTGCTAATGGCAGGTAATGGATTGACTGTGCTTTCTGGAGGTAAAACGAGCAAAACGAGGAGTGTAAAAGAGGATCAGGAAATTAGGAGAATGACAAATACAGAGAGAATCGGAGCGATTAGTATGTGTTTCATTGGCGTCCTCTCTGGAAGAAGTCCAGGAAGGACAGGAAAGAACCTTGTTTAAAAGTGACTGACTTTCAGAGTGAGTCAGAGAAAAAGATAAACAGGGGAGGAGTGGGATAGAAAAAGTGAGAAAGAGTTTTTCAGTTTAAGTAATGTCTAGACAATCCCCGACCTGAATCTCTCCCAGAATGATAATAAGCTCCCCGGGAGTTCCATGGCGGGCCTGGGATTCTCACCGAGGCCAAATCTCCTGGATACACCAGTGGCTCAGGCCCATATTTAAATGGAGCCCTCCCCCTTCCTCCAATATCCTCCACATTTTTATCCAAAAGTCAAAGGACGGCTGTCGACAGCAGCAGGGCTCCTTAATACAGAGCCGCTGCCTCCCTCCTCAGATTGAGCCAATATCTGATTTGGATTCAGGATGCGTTCAACCCAATTTTGTTGGCAACCCAGTTTCATATCCATTACATCTTGCTCTCATACTTTGTGTTTCATTTTTCACCTCCACCCCCCAACCTTCCACAATGGTGTTTTTGACATTGTGTGGCAACAGGCTCCAGATTTAAGATACCCATTTAGAAATCCAGTAAAACAGATGACACCCGCTATAACAAAATGATAAAACTCATGGTAGGAACAGCTTTACAATGGGAGGTTCATGTATCGATCAATTCCAGCCGGCCACCATTTTTTTTTATGTGTGTCCTGTTTTTTGCAGACAAACAGGGTTTACATCCAGCATTTTATACTTTATGTGTACTGTATGTTGCTGAGGTCTAATAAATGTGTGCAGTGCAGTATCCTCATAGAATGTTTTAAAGCCAATCTGTTGAATATTATTATTATTATATTATAATACATTCATGTTACACTGGCTATAATAACTCTTCTCATATACCCCACATTTTGTTACATATGGCCATTTGTTTATGTAACTGCTGGTTACCATCATATTGGTTGATTTAATGTGCAAGTCTAGCTAGCAACTGATGTGTGTGTGCTTGTAGAGCAGAAAATGCAAACAAAATGCGAACCAGCTCATCAAATGATTTCCCCATTATTTCCTTTTTTTTAAGATCTGTGCCTAAAGAATCACATCTGTCAATTTTAAACAAGTATAAGTTGTGGTAAATTCAGCTGACAATCTTTGCTAAATACTGATGTAACTTGTGTGCTGACGCTGCTAAGCATTTATATTCTGTCCCCAGTTTCCTGGTGTTTGTTCACCGGGTCTCAGGTGGACCACAGTGTTTATTTATCTTCAGCTCCCTACTGAGACCCCTAATGGTGGCAAGTGAGCAGTCTCACATGCCCAGTTTCACTAACAAGTCCTTCGCCTTTCTCCTTCAGATCACCACAGAATATAAATAGGCGTCCTTGTAATCAGTTTACTATTACTAAGCACAGCACTGAAATGTGGCACGTCATTTTTAAATTTCCCTTGTTTTGCGGCGGTAACAACTTTAGCTGATTATGTATTCCTGGCAGAGGAAGCGACAGGGCAAACCTGTTGCCATGCATTTTAATGTATGATAGCATGCGTGCTGCATTGTCAGTTTGTCAGCTTGCCAATGTGTGCTTCTGTGCTTTTCCTTCCCTCTGTGGTTGTGTGGTTCACGTGTGTCCATTAAGGAGCTCTCATTAATCACGAGAGACTCCAACCCCGTCTCTTCACCTCATATTTCCACTCAGTCATCCACAAACAAGGTACTCTGTCAAAGACTTCAAAGTCACTTACATTCAACCCCTATCATTCCCAAGCCACAGTCAGGGTGATTTCTAAACTGCTCCAAGCTTTTTCATAGACAGTAACAGAGCGTTGTCCTTGTGGACACATTTGGAGGGGATTCTACAGTGTGTCAGCAAACCAAAGTGGCTGATTGTGAAGGGTAGGATAGTGGAGCGGACTTACGTGTCTGTGTGGGTGTGTATATGTGTGTGTGCTTGGCCTGATTTGGGCTCTAAACAGATGAAGAAGGGACGAAGCCTGCTGGTGTGTAATGTATCACTGTCTGCCCCCTACCCACTCAAACACATATGTTCACACACACGCGGCCAGACAGGCACGACGTGACCCTCAGTGCCCCAACAGAGAGAGAGATGTCTGCTGTTTGACAGTGTGTCAGCAGGCCCAGATAAACCCAGTTGCCAGCTCTCCACAGAGCCTGTCCTCCCTCCTGCTGACCAGCGCGAGACGCTTTCACACCGCCGACCATGTGACCTCACCTTGCCCGAGTCCTTTACACAGCCTGCCATGCACTGCTGTGTCTCAAAATGGGCGGTCACAAACACTGTGACTTATTATGCTGAACTGTGGTGTGCTATGTCAGCACAGATACACATATTCTTCAATTTTGGATTTGGAGTAAAAGCAAATCAAATTACTATGTGCAACCCAATTCTGCTGTTCCCCACAGTTTTAGTGAGCTTTTTAGTATCTTTCAACTCGTTGTTTTTGGTTTAAGGACCACAGCTGTACTATTTTAATTCACACTCACATCAACCCTGTTTCGAGCTGCAGCAAAGCAGCTCTTTCTTTTAAGTGAAAAAGCTAAAACCGACTGTACACTACCTGCTCTGGCACGGAACAGCAGACAGTGTTGGTGTTGGTGGAGAGCAAAAACTGAGCTAAAAGAAAAGTGAATAGCGGAGGTAAAACACCAACAACTCCAAATGAATGCTGATGTTGTGCCTGCTTAATGTGCAAGTCTGTTAGAGGTTCGCCATAACAGCTGAATGGGTGGTTGGTATGATAGGGTGGTCGGCAGGTGGTAATATGTCAATGTTTTGTTTACAGATTGTTGCACTGCTCTCTAGTCTCTATTGGCCAAAAAGAAGCTTTTACGGGTTATTTCACCTGAATTACAACATTACAACACACCGTTTCTCACTTACTGCTAGTGGTGACCATATAGGTAGATGAGGTTTAATTTGCCCAGGTTTATAGAAACCAATTCCATTCATCTCCATCGTAGTGCTATGGAGATTAATGGAATTTAGTTTGTGGTGCTGTGAGCATTGAAAAGTGACCTTCAACTTTGAATTCAAGAGCATTTGTCAAAGTCAGTGCCATCCTTATTCTGGATAATCCACAGACCTTACTGTGAAGAGTTTTCATAGGTACTATTACAACAGAAAGTAGTAGCTGAAAACTATTCACTTTTTTTCTCCAGAAAGACGCTGTAAAAAATTTAATATCATTTTTCATTTCTTTGAGCATCACAGACCACATTCCTTTCACCTTCATTGTATTAGAATGGAATGAGAAGCCCCAGAGTAATAAAACTATCTGCGTAGCTAGATAGTACAACAGATAACATATATAAAATATATATAAAATAAGTTTTTTTGTAATTTTGGTGACTCAATCCTTTAAAATTTTCTTTCACTCTTTAAAGGCTCTCCCACATTCTAGCTCTCACTCACACACACACATACACACACAAACACGTAAACAGTCACCTCCAGCGGGAAGCAGAATTGGGCTGTCCGTCAAATAGACAACCTTAAAAGGGCACAGAACCCTGCAGGAGATATTAATGAATGAAATACAGCACCAACTCCCAAACACACACACACACACACACACACACACACAGTACAAAACCTGCCTAA